ATCAGCACTTTATGGGAATATCTGTTGTTCCCCATCCTCACTAATACTCGACATTAATGGTCTTTTCAATTTTAGCCACTGCAGTGAGTGTTATTTCTCTGATGACTGTTAGAGTTGAAAACTTTTCATATGTTTATTGCTGTGTTTTTTTCTGATAAAGTTATACATTCAAATCTTTTGTCCAAGCTTAATTGAATTGTTTACTTGTTGTAGATTTATAAGAGTTCTTTTAAATAACTGTTCTAAATACAGTGTGTACTTATGTAGTGAATATTTTCTTCTAACCTAGAACTTGCATTTTCATCTTCTTGATAGAAGTTTTCTATTGTTTTATGGTACTGAGGGTTGACTGAGGGCCTTCTCACAGAGCTCTGTCCAACTTTTTGTTTTTATTTTGAAATACTCTCAGAGAAAGTGAACTTCAAACCAAAACTGATCAGAAGAGGCAAAGAAGGACATTATGTATTGGTTATTGAAATTTTGATGGTACCTCAATTCATGAATTTAATTCTTCCTACAATTCTAGTTGCAAATCAAATTGGATGAGAATCAAATCAAATTCAATCTTAGGTTCACTGTTGACCTTATACGGAAATTTAATTCATTTCTCATCCAATTTGGTTTGTGAACAGAAATGTGGAAAGAATTAAGTTCATGAACTGAAGTTCCACTTTGTTCAATGGGAAGAGATAACAATTATAAACATTATACACCAAACTACTATGTACCCAATGTCATAGTATAAACTCTGTTGGATATAAAAGATCAGGTAAACATCATTGTGATTATAGTAAGGAATTTTAATATCTCCCATCATAAATAGATCAACTGAAGAAAAATCCACAAAGAAATGTTAAAATAGAACCAAACTTTTAGACCAATGGATAATGGGTATGTCATGTGTTCCACCAAACAACAGAAGACACATTCTTTTCAACCATACATGATACTTTCTCCAGAATAGATCACATTCTAATGAATAAAACAGCTGGTGAGATAGCTCAATGGCAGAAGATCCTTCCTGGAAAATGTAAAGTCCTGAGTTCAATCCTTGCTACAAAAAAAAAAAAAAAAAAAAAAAAAATTCCCTAATGAATAAATCATGCCTAAGCAAACACAAAAGGAATCAAAATTATAATGTGTATAATATTGGATCACATTGTAATGAAACAAAAATAAATAGCAACAGGAAGTATCCAAACATATGGAAATTAAGCAATACATTCTTGAATAATCAATAGGTCACAGAAAATATTGAGGAAAAAATAATGCAGTTCTGAGGATGAAATGATAATGCCAGTGTAACATATCAGAACTTACAAGATACAATGAAAGCATTCCTACCATATAGCAATGAGTAGTCTCATCAGAAAAATAGAAAAAGCCCTGCAAAAAACCTAATGATGTATCTCAAGGTTTTAAAAAAAAAATTAAACAGTTCAACCCCAGAAGTGGTACATGGAAGGAAATTACAAAGATCAAAACAGAAATCAATGAAATAGAGACTGAAAAGACAATACACAGAATCAAATCAAAGAGCTGGTTCTTCTAATGAATATATAGACAAAACCTTAGGCAACCTTATGTAAAAAAGGGAAAAAAGACACAAATTAATGGAACTATAAATGAAAACGGTAAAAGCACAATAAAATTCAGAAAATTATTAGCAACTGCTTTATATAAACATGTATACCAAACAACTAGAAAACTCAGAACAAATGAAGAGATTCCTGGACACTTATAAATTGCCAAAACTGAATCTAGAAGACTTAAAAATCTTGGCCAATCCAATAATGGGCAGTGAAATTGAAGTAATAAATAAATACCAACTAAGAAAAGTTAAGATGGATAGGCTTACAGCTAAATTCTACAAGAATTTCAGACAAGATCTAGCACAAATATTCCTCAGACCTCTTTGAAATTGAGAGAAAAAGAGTATTTCTCAGTTATTCTTGTATGCTAACATCTGGATCCCAAAACCCGACAAGGATATAACCATAAAAAGAGTTATAGACCAAATTGTCTAAGAAACATAGATACAAGAATCCTTACAAGGGCCAGGGATATAGTTCAGCAGTATAACACATGCCTGACAAGCCTGAGGTCCTGAATTAAATTCTCAGCAACCCTCCACCCCAAGAAGAATTGTTTACAAGATACTGGCAAGCAGAATGGGTCAAATCATTAAAAAGATCATACACCATGACCATGAAGGCTTCGTCAGCACACACAAATCCATAAATATAACTCATCACATAAACAGCAAGGATGAAACTGACATGATCATCTTAATAATTCAGAAAAAGCAATCAACCTAGCCAAGGTATGATCTACAGAACAGGAGAACACTTTCTCCCAGCTATCTCTTGGAGAGAGGACTAAGATCTAGAACATATGTAGAATTCCATACAAACTAGACTCCTCAAAATCAAAGACCTAGTCCAAAATAGGCATCCAAAGTAGGTTATTTCTCAGAAGAAATACAGATGGCTAATAAGTACGTGAAAAAAAAATACAATTGCTAACAGAGGAGTTAAAACTACATTGAGTTACCATCTTACCCCCTGAAAGAATGGGTATCATCAAAAAAATAACATGCTGATGAGAATGTTCAGAAAAATTCTACTATATTGTTGTTAAACTAATAAAACCACTATGAAAATCAGTGTGGAGATTCCTCAAAAAAATAAAACTAGAGGGGCTGGCCAGATAGCTCAGTGGACTAAAAGAACCTGCTTAGGCATACCACAAATGGGGTTCGATCCCCAACATGCTGTGCCAGCCCCACCTCTAGGACCAACTGAAACAGTGACTGAAATAGGGCATGGTGGCACACACCTATAATCGTAGCACTTGGGAGGCTGAAAATGGGAGGATTACTACGAGTCCAGTCTGTATTCTGAGACCCTGTAGAACCTGTAACCAAGTACAAATAAATAAAATTAAAACTAGAAATTCCACTCGACTCAGGTATCCCTCTCCTAGGTATCTTCCCAAAGGTTTAAAATCAAAGGACAGAGGTACATGCATATCCATGTTTATAGCAGCACAATTTATAATACATCTTGAAAAAATATATATATATATATTCCATTAACAGATGAATAAGAAAAATGTATTTATATAATGTACAATGGATTACTATGCTGCCATAAAGATAAACTTGAGGCTTTCCAAAATAATACATCTTGAGAACATAAGTGAAATAAGTCAAACACACTATCTCAAATATCACATGGTTTCTCTTACATAGGAATCCCTCTCCCTTTTCCTCTCCCTCTCCTTCCTCTCCCTCTGTATTTCTCTCCCTGTATGAATATATGAGAGCAAAATAGAAGAGGGATATTTAGGAAATAGTTCAGATATTCCCCTAATTACATAATCCATTTTAAAAATATTTCAATATATATGCTGTTTTTCAGTTATGCTAATATGATGTTGTCCTAGTTCATTAAAAAGATAGTTTCTGTTATGTGTTTTCTTTGTAAGGATCTTTTTATTTTATGTCTTATATTGAATAACTACTTTGAATATAATGATACATACTATAATAACTATAATTCTCTTGTTATTTATGAAAAAATTCATAAAATGTGACAACTAGTTTAAAAGTTTTACATCTATCTCATTTATTCATTTATTTAATGTATTTGGTACAGGGCCTCACTACGCAGCTCTAACTCAGTGATTTTCCTGTTGTCAGCCTCTCCAGAGATGGGATTAGCTCAGCGTGCCTGAGGGTGGAGCCAGCACGGCATGCAAAACCAGGGATTGGCCCCCAGTCCCTGCATTTGCCTAAGCAGACACTTAGTCCTCTGAGCTATCTTGCCATATTCTGTTTTTTTTTTTTTTTTTCCTTGTTACGTTACATAGGACAGTGGTGGCGAACCTGTGGCATGTGTGTTCTGTTTCTCTTAATACGGATGTTAATCCGTGAGTTGTGTCTTCTAAACTAATATCTCAGCATTCAGGTTTAATTGCCATGTTGGCACTTTGTGATACATAATTGAGCTTTGGATTGCACTTTGGACACTTGTCCCTAAAAGATTTGCCATCATTGACCTAGGACATTGAGTTCAGTATTGAATAGAAGTGATAAGAGAGACTATCTCTGCCTACATATTATTATCTGCTGCCAAGGGACTGACTCGAGGCTCATGAAAGCATTTGCTTAGTCACATTAGTTGATTCTGCCAAAAGGGAACAGTAAGGTTTTATTGCTTTGGATTGTTAGGGCACTAATGTCACACTTTTTTTTTTTTTTTTTTTTAAATTTAACTTTATGATTGGGCTGTTTTTTTAGACTTGCTCAGACTAGCTCAAAGTAAATGGATGAAGAATAAGATGTTTTACAGCTATTTTTAAATGCTGAAAAATAAAATACAACAAATGTATTTAAAATATCGAGGGCTGGCCCAATAGCTTACTGAATTAAAGCACCTGCAGGCAGGCACAGGGGCCAGGGGTTTGATCCCTGGGCCTGCCGTCCTGGCCCTGCCCCCAGGGCACACTGAGAAGGCAATTGAGACTGGGCATGGTTGTACATGCCTATAATCTCAGCTCTTGGGAGGCTTAAACAGGCGGATCACTACAAGTCTGATCTAGTAGTGAGACACTGAACATCCTGTAGACCCTTCCCTAAAATAAAAAGAAAATTAAAAATAAAATGAAATGCTTATTGTCATTTAGCACAGAGAAATTGTTAGTTTCAAATGAGATAAACCTTTTAAAGGACAGTAAAATAAACCCAGAAGAGAATGCCTTCCCCTGAATTGGTTTTGGTGCTTAGCCCTTTAAGATTTTGTTTCTTTTTAAAAGGATAAAATGTGCCTCTGTTGTACTAAAGTATTTTATAGCAAACATTAATTGTGAAAGGAATCAATCCCATAGTTCTAATCCTTGCATAAGAAATGATTACTATGTTTTTCTATATGGAAAAGTTAACTCTGTATTCTACTTTGCACTTTCAAACATTCACGTAGTTTTATGTTCCCTGACAGGTATCTTCACTCAAGGACAGCTGGGCCCAGTAGACATGATCTTCCAATACATTCACTATGGTGAGATCTATGAGGCAATAAATATCCTGAGCAGCATGAACTGGGACACTCTGGGCCAGCAGTGCTTTATCAGCATGACTGCCATTGTGAACCATCTTCTTAGACAGAGACTCACTCCAGAGAGAGAAGGTCAGAATGGATTTCTTAAATGGATTTTATATATATGAGACATACATTTTTTGAGTCAATTAATTTTCTGGGATGTTTTAAAATTACGATGCTGGAGTTTGAAAGACAAAGATGTTAATGCTTTATTGAAGTGGAAAGGATCAGATATAAAATAATCACTCCTGTATAGTATTTACAGTGTGTGGAATTTGTCAACACAACAAAGAACTTTTCTGTGTATGCTCGTGTTGGAACTTACAATGTAGTCATTGTTCAGTTCATTGTAACTGTGTGTAGAATATGCTTAGATTTCAAACTGTGATCAGAAATTTCACATACTCTTTGGGGAGCTGGTAGACAAAGGATCCTAAACAGAGGTCTTTATTCCTCTCTCACTGAGACATCAGAATTATTTTTCACACCCAAGTCATCTGTCCAGACAATAGTCCTTAGCACTTTTTTTTTTTTATGTATTAGAGTTGTAGTCAAGGTTTCCATTATTTTAATTTGTGCTTTAACACCCTGCTCCCTGATCCTTGACTGGATCTCCCCACCTTCACTCAGTAAGTAAGTTTACACATTGGGAACCCAGATGTTTATTGTCAAAGGAGAGATAAGACACTAAAAAAAAAGAAAGAAAACTCTTTAGCTTGCCAGTATCTAGTTATATATTTTGATCAGTTATTCATTTACATAATGTAAAATGTACCAAAACATTCTGGTATTTTCATCTTTATTTCATATTTTTGTGGTAAATATTGATATTGATAGTGGAAAATCATGGCCAATGAGAAACTATCCCTAAGTAATTTGTAAAAGAGAAAGATGTAGGTCAGAAGTTCTTTAATGGAGAGCAACTTCTTTCTATTTTTTGTATATTTTTAATAGATTATCTTATTCCATGTTTATTACATTTCCAAAATAAGTTGCTTGAGTAGAATTCTGTAAGAAACGGAATGGATTATTTGGAGGTAGTCCAGATGCATCTATGGAGACTGCAATATTTTCACACTAAGAAAATGCTTGGGGTAGTGCTTTACACATAATAGGTACTCAGTGAATATTAGGTTAAAAATATATATAACTCAAAGATTTGAGAGTGCATGGTATTATTGTAACATTTCTGCCCATAGTTACCTCAAGTAATCACTTCTTACAATTGATATACTCTCAAGATTTGGTATATACTTTTAAAAAACACCCAAAGGAAAACCTATAGTTATGCTTGTAATCTATACAAGATATCCTAAATTTACAGTAAAAGAAGAAATATAGAAAAGATAAAATACTGACTCAGGACACTGAAAAAATGTAGGCACTACAGTGCATTTATATTTAAAGAGTACTGTATTATAAGAAGGATTATTAGGGAATACACGAATGGGCAGTATCAGATTCTTGCTCCAATAAAGAATATTTTCAAGTAATCATATTGGAGAGTTAGAGAAATAAAAAGTTTTCATGATGTTAAGCTACCAAAATGCTTATATGATGCTGGGTTATCAGACTGTACATTTTAGGTAGGTATATGCAAAACGTATTTCTAAAACATTCAGAGTTCTCTGTTGAGATTTATTCTATCTGACTCTAACAAATTTGACATGGTAATTTGTTTTCCTTTTATTAGTGGAACCTAGTGAGATCTTTTATTTGTAGCCATGTTGTGGTTATCTTTTGAGATCTTCATTTCTGCCTTAAACATCAAGCTGAGTTATCTAATGAATCTATAACTGTGCTGGGAGTTATGAGTATTCCACATAGGTCTGAACATTTCAGATCTACGAAACATGCTGTCAAGAAAACAAGCAATGGCAAGAGAATCTGGCTTGTTTTCACAATAGTATTGCTGTTTTCAATTTTAATCTAAATTGACTGCTGCTTTGAAAGAAAATACCTCTAAAGTTCATGTTACTTTACTGTCTCGATTTGAGATTTTAAAAAGAAAGAAAGAAATTGAGAACAGCTTAGCCAAGTCCGTAGCAATTACTCTGATGGGGTTTCTAATACTTCTAAACCGAAATATGCTGAAAGCTAAAGAGTTTTGCTAAACAACAAATTGTTTTTCAAATTAGTGCTAGTAGCATAAAAATGAGGAGTCTGTGAACTGAAGTGTTCTCACAGATACTCAATACTTTCAACATTGTAGTTATTACTCAGCTTTGTATTTTTGTGAGGAAGCACAGCTCCATAGGCATGTCTTAGTAAAATTGTGACATACACAAAATGTGCCTGAACCCCTAATCCCTTGTTTATCAAATTACATTTTTCAATCTTTCTTTTTTCTAGCTTTCGCATGTGGATAAAACCAAGAATCTTGTTTTTAGGGCAGGATTTAGAAATCATATAGGGAGTTGTGTTCTCCTAAAATTGCAATAGATAGTCTATTCTACATTGACTCTTACATTATTTTTAAAGATGTTTTTACTGATTTTTATAGCTAATTTCAATTTCCCATGCAATAAAAGGTTTTCTTCTAAAGAGAGTAAATGTTGAGTACACTGAGAGTTGATTTTACTGGAAATACTAATTCGAACTGTGTTTCTTTGATGAGTCACTGTTTTAATTACCCATTTGTGGTGAGAAGTTGGCTCATTATGGATTTTTTCAGTTTTGACAGCTTTTTGTTGCTCAGAGTCATTGTCAGCTTTGCCTTAAGTGAAAGTTTATACACAGGTTTGTTTTTGTACTAGCTGTCATACTTTAATTTCATCTGTCCTGCAACAAGCTCACATTTCATCCAAGTTTGCAAAACCTGACTGACTGCAAACATGAGTATTCTGTTATTATTAAAGGAGTTTCACTTGTATTAATGCTGCTATGTTTGAATTCCACAGCACAGCTTGAGGCAAGCCTTGGAACCTTCTATGCTCCATCAAGACCACTCCTGGATGCAACTATCTTGGAATATAGAGACAAAATCAGCAAATACGCAAGGAGATTCTTCCACCACTTGCTCAGGTGAATCATCTTTGGATTGATTAATGTCAGACTAATTACCTATTTCGGGAGCCATCTTTAATGAGCATATTACAAAATGGGGCTATTTTCTATGTGTAGTACATATTTTAAAAAATACTTCTCTTGCCACTCTTTAATCTTTTCTTGCTTTCCTTTTTTAAAAATATTTCAATATTGTTTAAGGATTTTATGTCATCATAATACAATGTAATCTGTTATAGTACTTCTATTCTTTTAAGGACTTCGATATTTAAGCTGTCATTTCTCTCCCCAGAACAACCCTGTAAAGGGGGTATTACCAATTGCTAGAGGAATAAACTGAACCACAGACAATAAATAGCTTGATTAGATCAATTGACAGGTGCCCGGTGATACATAGACACTTTCCCCTTTAATATGAAAGTAAAAATTGCCAACTATATACAGTCTGTATAAAAAACTGAAATTCGTTTGTATCATCAGAGTAAAGTTAAATATATGAATGTGCTTGCTATAAAGTTCTGAGATAATCATGGGTTTGCTTAACTTTCAGAATTACTGTGGGGAGATTATCCTCTCATAAATGTGGCAATGTAAAATTTTATTGTACCTCAATTGTTCTGCTTTAATAGTTTAATTCATTTATGTTACATATTACTAGTAAATTATGAAATTGCGTTGAGAAAAATAGAAGTTGAAGGACAAGTACATATAGCACTCATACATATAAGCAAAACAGGATGGATGAGTGGCTGTTAGAAACTATAGAATGGCCTGGAATGGATGAAAAGAAATAAGATGGACAGGCACATGGGATCCTCCAAGGTATGAGTTGTATTTCATTTCTTAAGATGATTAGTATACAAAGGGTCTGTTAAGTGTGTGTATATATATATATATATATATATATATACTTTTGCATATAATCTCTTTCATAAAACAATGCAATAGAATTTTCATTTCTATGAACCAAAAATAATTACATCAAGAGATTAATTTTAGAGTTAAATTTATTAATAATGTAATCTGTTATAGTACTTTTATTCTTGTAAGGACTTCGATATTTATTCTCTCATTATTCTCTCCAGAACAACTCTGTAAAGGGAACATTATCAATGATAGAGGAGTAAACTGAACCACAGATAATAAATAGTTTGATTAGATCAATGTACAGGTACCTGATGATATCAGATCTTGTAATGATTTTCTGAACTGCCCACTCCATATTTTTTCCTTAAGACTGTCTGTCATTAATTGTGTATTTTAACATGTTTCTTTGTAAAATAACCAGAAATTGTTATCCATTCAAGAGTAGGCTGATTGATAAATGTACTCATCTGCCCACAAAGACCTTAAGACTGGTCAGGATAAGAGGAGGTATATTGTTGTGCAGATGTCCATGTTCTGTAATTAGTTTTTCTATATATAAAATAACACTTTGAACTCTATGGAACAGTAAAGCCTTTGGAAAACAGTATTTTTAGAAGGTGAAGAACATTTTATATTGCAAGAGTTATTATCCGTAATTGAATCTTGCCTTTTTATCTGAATAATATTAGCATATTCTAAGGGGTTCTTCTCCCTAAAGAAAACTGTGTTCCTGAATGAGCATTCACCTATAGTGTTGGGGTTGATGTCACATTCATTTGAATTTAGGGTTTTGCTATTTGCTTTCATTGCTATTTTATCTTTTCCATATCTGGGGAAAATTGATGAGTTAACTTTTTGCCTCAAGAGCCCCAAAAAGTGAACATGAATGAAACAGAAATTTTGAAAGCATACTCTTGGTGGTTTCACAGACCTTATGCATATGTTTGGTTTTTGGCTAAACATAGTATTTTATAACCATCTCATTGACCCTAATTGCTTATATTCCAAAATACAATTTTTTTGTTCATTGGTTTTCCTCAACTGCAGTTTTATTACTTTTATATATACTTTGATAAAGTAGCTATTACTGCTATCATTATTACTAGACTCTAGATTTTGGTTACATGTGGAATTAAATGTTTCCCCTTGGGGTATACTAGCTTTCTCATGTTTCCCTTTTTTAATGCTTAGCTACTATTATATTTATTATGAATGCTTGTTTGTTTTCTTTTGATAGTAGCTAGTACATAGCATTTTGAAAAAAGAAGCTTAGAAGACATTAAATGAGATAGCTTAAGTTGGAACCATTCATTTGTTTGATCTGCTGCCAAGAAATTCTCCTGCATAGGGAAAGAAAAACAGGACAAATGCCTTTTGTATTTATGAAATGCTAGAGTTTCATTATTTCCTGTGCTTTGGATTGTCCTTAGTTAATACCCTTCCTTAAAGTTATTAAATAATAGAATAAGTCTTAAAGACTAAACACCATCATAGGAAACTTTAAGATGTATAGGAGCCCCATGAAGGTTAGCGATTGCCTAAAATCATTCACATAAGACTCATTGCCTAAGTCCAAATTGAGTTACTTTATTTTTTTTTTAAGAGCAGAATATATTTATTGAGGAAAGGAAAGCTTCTGTCCAAGAGAGGGACAAAAGGGGACCTGAGCAAGTTGCTCCATGTTATTTTAATATAGATGTTATGGTTTGTGTATAGCTGTCCCACCAAAGCCCCGTGCAGTCTTGGGGCAGCCTCTGGAGTTTGTGATTGATTGCTGTGGGTGTGGGTGCTGCACCTGCCCTGGGGCAGGTCATTTGCATTTCAATATAAGGAAGAAAGAGAGGTTAGCTGCTTGAGCTGCTGCTACTCCTCTTTTTGTGCTCTTGCTCTTTGCCACTGCCGTGAACGGTTGCCTTCTTCCATGTTCCTCTCTGTCTTGGAGCCAGCTGAATATGGACTGAAGCCTCCAGTAACTGTGAGCTAAATAAACCTCCCCTTCCTTCATTTTGAGTATTGGGTATTTATCCCAGCAATGAGTGAAGTAATCAAGACAATAGAATAAAATATTACATGGATTCTCATTTCATACAGCATACAAAGGGTAACACTGTAATATAAATTTGTGATAGTAGACAAATATACTGTGTAAATTCTTAAGGTAAGTATTTTCTGCACAATTTTGATTTTGTCTTGAAGTAGAGAAATTTCAAGGACACCTTTTTGTGTATTTCTTTGTCTTTAGCAAGTATAAAAAATGACATGAAAGCCTTCCTCCAAATTCAAACAAATCTAAACTTTAAAACTTAAATCTCATGTGTTTTCCTCACATTGATTTCTATTTGTTCAAATAGACCAGTTTTCATAAATAGGCTCTAGAAGTAAATCATTGCTCCTAATATTAAAAATAAGTGCTAATCGCACAGAGTATTTGTTAAAATAAAAATTTTGTAGTATTGGGGATTGAGCCCAAGACCTTTTCATTGAGCTACATCCCTAGCCTTTTTTTATTTTTTGTTTGTGACACAGTTGCCCAGGCTAGGCCCAAACTTGTGATCCTCCTGTCTGAAACTCCTGGAGTGCTAGAACTACAGATCTGTGCCACCAAGCTCAGCTATTATATAACATTTTAAAAGATGATATAATCTGATTCATAAAATCATTAAGCTGAAAAATGCCTAAAAAGGCAAATGCAGTTTTATCTAAAATAAATTTAGAAGATAGTTTTCACTTTTCTACCTTTGTGCAATAAATAGCCCTCAGAAACACTCAACAGGGAAGTATTGGCAAGTAAGAGCTTGTCTTCATAAACACATAAAAATTATTATAGGAATGTGTAAATATTGATGAAATTAAAGGCAAATGTTTCAAATGATTATGCCACATATGAAGTTTATTTTACTAAAACAGCATGTTATAAAGCATTAATAATTATGTGACATTATTCTGCCCTTAATTTTAAGACTGTTGTTTTCTGACCCAGTGATGTAGGATTGTAATATAGGTACACTTTTTAAATTCTTAAAATACAGTTAACATAACCTTGAGAAATGGAACTTTCTTTTTAGAAATAGAAATATTAGGTTCATGAAACATTTATGGGGAAATGCACTGATGGCTTCGTTTCTCTTTGTGGTGCAACAAAAAAAATGCGAATGCATAGATAGATGGATAAATGGATAAATATATGATAAAATAATATTATAAAATAATGAGAGAACTCAGTGGTACAATACAGAGTCAACTTTGCTATGTTTAAAAACTTTATAAAATGTTAGGAGAAAGTCTATATTACCTGATAGTTTATATTTGCATTAAGAATTCAGGAAGGAACTGTAATCTTTTGGAAATAACTCAGCTTATATAAAATGCATACCATTCCTCCTTCAAATCACTGATTAAATGTTGTTAACCAATTCAATTTCTATATGCTTTTCACGTATACTTTTTAGTAATGG